ACCCAACTCCCTGGTTTAATGACAGCCATCGCAGCCTGAAGCGCCAATGCAGAAATATTGAGCGTTTGTGGAAGAAAACCCATCTCCACGTCCATCTGCTGCACCTAAAGGATCTTCTGACATCCTTTAACTCTGCAGTCAGAGACACGAGGGTTTCCTACTTCTCCAACCTGGTGTCCCAGAGCAAAGGGAACCCCAAGGTGCTGTTTAAAATTGTAAGATTCTAATTTTCATCTATTTAATGAACAGTAAGACATGACATTCCATAGTGAATATGAAATCAAACTTATGGATCTGTGGGTACTTTTGACCAGAAGATTTGAACTTTATATTGCAGGGATTATGTAACCACTTCGTATTCACTCAGAGACAAAAGAAAGAGAGTCAAGTTTTAAAAGTTTAAAGATTTATTACTAAACAAATTAAAACTAGACTAACTTAAACACTAAATGTATGGTGTAACTAAGGTGAAGTGAGACGGAGAATGGTGTAATGTGGAATGTTGTTCAGAACCAGCAAATCCGGAGAAACGATTAGTTCTGATGGGAGTGAAGATGATGTTTTGCGCTAAGCTTTGATTTGGAGATTCATAACACACACTGAGACGCCATTCTGTCGGTCTACGTACCCTTTCGGAAGTCCCTGTCTAGATCAGGAGGTGTAGAGGTCCAGCTTAGACCTTTCTGGAGCCGAAGCCTGTGGAACAGCCGTGGCCGCCGACCAGTCCAGTCTTGGGATACTTCCGGGTCACGACAGTTTGTTGGCATCTAGCGAGACCCAAAACGGGGTCGTAATGGTTCAGCTTTTATTCTGAAAGGAACCGTTGCAGAAGGTTGAGCAGCAACAGATTTAATCCAGCTTGTCGTTGGTTCTTTCGGCTGAAGAGGAAAGTTACGGATTGGCCACTCCGACAACTTCTCTAGAATGCTTTGAACTGGAGTTAAAGATGACGTGGGCATAGTTTTATAACTCGGATGTTTTGATTTACGGTCGAATGAAAAGGTGACAGATTTACCAAGCACCACCAAAACCACGCCTCCGTCAGATCTGGAAGATTCTGATTGGATCAGTAAAACAATGTGTGATGTGGCTTAACCTTACGTGTGATCAGTCTCTAGTGGAAATATTTAAAGGTATATTACTTATTATATTCTGTAGGATTATAATATCAAGTAATTAATATTTTCATTTCACAAATTGGTTCACATCTTATTATTGACTAACACTTTGTTTGATTAGCTCATTAAAAATAGAGTTATTTGATTTATTAAACAGAACGAGTCCTTTGTCTTCATTCTTCTCTTGGGCTGGAAAGGAAGACAGTTTAGAAGCAGAGCATGAGACCTTGAACAATATCTCATGCAGATTAGTTCTTGCTGAGGAGAAGGGGGGAAATTACTTTTAGGTGGAAAACAGTCATTTCATTCTGTTACACCACCATCAGCAGCATCGTCTCTCCTGCCTCTCCTACAGCCTCCATCCACTCTGTTGCAGACTGTGAGAAATTTCTGTCTTTCTTTGTGGACAAAGTCAATAAGGTTAGATCTAGCATCTCTCCTTCAGCCTTGTCGCTGCCTCTCCCGACTCCAACCAGGCCCATCATCCTAGATAGCTTTGCTCCTGTTTCTTTGCCTGAGTTAACCAAACTAGTTAACTCTATGAAGACCTCTGCATGCCCCCTCCACATCTTAAGCCGGGCGTACACTGCGCGACTTTTTCACTTTTTTGAGCCGATTTTCCACTCGTGCGAGAATCCACGAGATCGGGGCGAGTTTTGCGCTGAGCGTAGTGTACGGGGGTTACGAGAGGCGATTAACACCACGTGACCAGCTGCCGATCAGCAGTCGTGAGGTTGCACGGACTTCTGGTGTGTTTAATATTTTGCTCGTCCCTCGTGAGGGTATCGCACTGTTGAAGCAGCGCTGCGAGCAGCTGCGACCCAAAAAGTACCAGAACCGCTCACGGCGCATGCGCAATCCTGCATCAACGCCGCTCGCCCGCTATTTCCCTAATAACACACGTTTTTGTTTTTATTTCTTCACGTTTTTTTACTCACAAAGATTGTCAAGAAGCGTGTTTGTCGTGTTCATGTCAAATTAAACTGATCACAAAACACAGGTTTACTTTCTTTATTTCGTTTTCCTCATCCAACCCCCATAAATCCCTGTGTGTCCTCCTGCAGCACTCCCGAAGGACAACAGGCAAAACAAGACAAAAACGTCTGACGTGTTGAGTAAAAACTGCTATTTTTAGCATATTTTTAGGGCCGACGTGTTGCTACCAGACGTACAGTGTGAGCAGTCAGGTCGCATGCGAGAACTGGGTCGTGCAGTGTGAGCACATGACTCGTGAGATCTGCTCTGCGAGGAAGTCGTACAGTTTGAGCTGAAGCTGAACGCTACGAGTGAAAAAGTCGCACAGAGTCCGCCCGGCTTAACCCTCATCTTTGTTTAAAAGTGCTTTTCAGTCCATCGGTCCCAGCGTGCTCTCTATAATTAATGCTTCTCTGGTTTCTGGTCAGGTCCCTGCTTACTTTAAGAACGCTGTAATCCACCCGCTTCTTAAAAAACCGAGTCTCGACCCCTCTCTCCATAGCAGCTTCAGACCCATCTCTGAACTTCCGTTCATCTCCAAGATCTTGGAAAAGGTTGTGGCTAAACAACTCACAGCTGCTCTTGATGAACATAACATCTATGATAGCTTCCAGTCAGGTTTTCGTAGAGCTCATTCTACTGAAACAGCTCTTCTTAGGGTCTCTAATGACCTTCTGACTCACAGTGATGCAGGGGACTGTTCTGTTCTGGTCCTGCTGGACCTGACTGCAGCCTTTGACACTTTTGACCATCACCTGCTACTGGAGAGGCTGAGAGACTGGGTAGGCCTATCAGAATCTGCTCTGGAGTGGTTCTCTTCTTATCTTTCTGAGCGCTGCTTTTCTGTGGCCGTCTCCAAGTTTAGGTCCTCCACCACCTCTCTTACCCATGGTGTCCCACAAGGTTCTGTGCTGGGGCCTCTGCTCTTCCTCCTCTATCTGCTTCCTCTTCAGCACATCCTGAGCTCCTTCAAAGGAATCTCCTACCATCTTTATGCAGATGACATCCAACTGTACATCTCCTTTAAGCCCCATGAGATGGCTAAGCTGCAGCTGTTACACACCTGCTTAGACTCTATCCAAACCTGGATGGTGGGAGCTTTCTTCAGCTGAATGAAGATAAGACTGAGATCCTCATCTGTGCCCCAGACAAGCTGGTTCCCGAAGTCAGAGACTCTCTTGGTCAGCTTGCTTCTCACACCAAACCTTCTGTCAGGAATCTTGGCGTGACCTTTGACCCAGCTCTCACCCTGGATTCTCATGTCAGTTCTCTTGTTGGCTCTTCCTTCTTCCATCTCAGGAACGTTGCTAAGCTGAGTCCCATTCTGTCCCGCTCTGAACTTGAGACAGTTCTCCACACCTTCATCTCCTCACGCTTAGACTACTGTAACTCTCTTTTCACGTGTCTGAGCAGAACCTCCCTGAACCGTCTACAGGTGGTTCAGAACGCCTGTGCTCGGCTTCTGACCAAGTCCTCCAAACACACCCACATCACCCCGCTTCTCCTCCAGCTTCACTGGCTGCCAGTCAACTTCAGGGTTCATTTCAAGATCCTGGTTCTGGTCTATAGGGCCTTACATGGACAAGCACTATCTTACATTGGTGATCTTCTTAGTCCCTACACCCCCAGCAGGTCCCTGAGCTCCAGTGATCAAAGCCTACTAGTTGTGCAGCACCAGGCTGACAGAACATCTGCTGCTGTGGCCCCCAGACTCTGGACCTCTCTCCTCCTGAGCCTGAGATCAGTGGACTCAGTGGTCTCCTTTAAAAAGCAGCTGAAGACTCACCTGTTCAAGCTGGCTTTTGTACGACCTTCTTCACCTCTCTCTCTTTATTCTGCTCTCCCACCTATTCCACCTTCCTCAGGATCCACTGATTCCCTCTTATCTATTCACTGTTTCTTTACATTTTTTAATCACAATTGTCATTTTTTGCTCATTTTAAATATATTTTAACCACTTTCTAAATTCTTTTTTATATTTTTACACTTTTTGTTTTGTTGAAGCGCCTCGTGATTTTTATCTTGAGAGGTGCTATAGAAATGATACTTTCTTCTTCTTCTTCTTCTTCTGTGTTCCACCCGGTTCCCCCCAGCGGTCAGCCCGGCGTATCTCTGACTCAGAAGCTCCGGTGTTGTGCACACTTAACTCCAGTTGTAGCTACGTAGCTACCTCCATTAGCTTAGCTCCCACCTCCGCGTTAGCTTGTAGCTACATAGCTTCAGTTCGACGGGTGTCGTCATTTGATCCCAGCCTTACAGCCCCGCCGTCAGCTCCACCTCTTTTCCCTTTAGTGGAATTGTCTGGGCTCTACGGAACCTGTGACACGATCAAAATGGCGGTGGTGGCCACCTCCCATTTTGGCTTAAAAACGAATTATTGGAGTTTATGGAAACGAATTGTCCAGTATATATGTCGATGGGCAACACCCAAACAAACCCACTGGTGGACACGGGCAATTAGGGATTTAACATGTTTATGATTAGAGATTTTGATAGTATGATGAACATTTTGGAGCAGTACAAACATTTTATAAATCCCTAAAGTGTTTTGCAATTTAAAATAAAAAATAATCACATTTTTGTGGCCTGCAAGGACACCCCAGCCCTAGACGGTCTCACAACAATCCACAGCCTCAGGAATATCAGATCTCCTCCTGTGGCCCTGAACTTCAATTTTCAACTTTTCAACTTAAACAATCTCACGAGTGATTTTGTGTCTGGCTAAAAATCTCTCTGAAATTAGAAGCACTTTCTATTTTATATCGTCAAAGTTCCTCAGAAGTAAATAAAAATATTCCCAGTTGTTTGAACCAAAATCGCTAATATAGTTTCATTTAAGTGCGATAAGGATCCAGATGCTGGACTATGATGAACACTAACATGATGTCTTTCCCTCCTTTTGTTTAGACTACATCCCTCCTGAAACCAAGAGTTATACCCAGACACATGGTTTCAGCTCCAGGTCCATGATAAACACGCCCACCCGCATCATGGCTGTAAGTACACAGTAACATCGTCAGCACCTGGTCTTCACCTCGATAAGCATTCTTTTGGTTTGATTATTGTGAAAATAGTTTTGATTATTATATTTTAAATAAGTCATCCAGCAGGAAAGAAACGCCTCTAGAGCGGTGTTGTTTTCGTGAACGACGACTAAATAATTTTGTTTGGGCTCGGAGTATTCCCACTGCTCCTCCACGTCGAGAGGAGCCAGCTGAGGTGGCTAGCATCTATAATATAAATAATAAACGAGTACGTGTGTGATCTACAAACTCATTTGTTAAAGAGTCATACATAATTTTACAATAATAATACATAATCTAATAAATATTTTTTTAAATCTAAAAACAAAAATATTTGTCGACTGAAACTATTCGGAGTTGTGGTCGAATGAAGCTGACTAAAATTAAAACGCATTTTTGGATGCCGGCCACAAACAACACTGCTCTGAAGCTTTTCTTAATGAAGCTGCATGGTTCGGATCTGGGTGGTTTCTGTGTGGATCTGGATGAGAGACACCCAGAATACTGGTTATGAGTGCTGAGGAAACATCTGATCAACCGCGTCAAACAAGAACACTGAAGCCTCACCCTGCACTCGTGTGTGTGTGTGTGTTCCTTTTCCATTTTGCACCATGTCCTGCCTCTGGAGCCTCATCCTGTGAAGCTGTTTCTGTTGTGAAAACCTGTCTGACCAGTAGAACCTCCTGCAGAACCTAACCAGACCTCTGCAGGATTTGTATGTTTTTAAATATATGATTGATCCCTCCCATCTTAGAATAACAAACTTCAAGTCGCTTGGTCTGGACTTGGTGGGATCAGATATTATTTATGAACAGCTATGTAGTAATTAGCAGACTGTCTGAACACCAGTCCTCCCAGTAAATTGAGGATGGTAATTTGGAACACACACACACACACACACACTCGGAGCAGGTATTGTGTAGGAGCTTCCTGCTGTGACTGGTGGGTTCTCCGCCAGAGGGAAGATGGAAGCTGCAGGCTCCCAGTCAAGAACAATGGTGGAGACAGGAGCTGGTCATAAACAGGAAGCTCAGCTGTGGCTTTAACTGGCCTGTTAACATTATGGGGGGTGGAGTCTGCTTCCTGCAGATTAGTAACCAGCGTTTCACCAGAAACATGAAGCTCTCTCTTACCCTTTTGCTGCATTAATGTTTTTTTTTTACCAGAATCAAGTACTTCTGCTTCAGGTCTTCTAATGTGTTTTTAAACCACCTGCCTTCCAGGTGTCCGCTGTACCTCCCCAAACCTCTGGGTTCTCGTCCCGCTCTGATGTCACGAGCAGCTCCAGGCTGAGACATAAGGAAACCAGCACAGTCCAAAGCAGCTTCCAGGTGCACGGCAGAAGCAGGCGCTCAAAGTCCCTTTGCCAGGAAGACCAATTTCCTGTGACTGGGGCTTTTCACCCAGAGAGCCCCTCCGTCCCGTCCTCCGTTCCCCTGTCTGGTGACCTCAGACGCAGCCTGAGTGGAATACTGGCCCAAGAAAGAAGCCAGTGGCAGCAGGAGGAGGCACTACCCTACCAGTACACCTACAGAGGCCCGTCTCACCGCACCATCAGCCGGATCACCAACAGGCAGCAGTACTACCAGCATCAGAGCGCTGGTTCCGGCCAGGAGGGCTGGGTGGGCAACGGGAGGGGCTTCCACAGTGCAGGTGACTGCTGGGGGGCACAGTGGCAGCAGCAGCCAACATCCAGGGCCAACAACATCATGTCCCAGAATGCTTCACTGCAGCGGGCCGCCTCGCTCCGCTCTCTGAGGAGTGTTGGTAAAGGAGCAGATGTTCTGGACACAGCGTCCATCCACAGCAACGATCCACTGGCAGAGTGAGACGTCTCCTTTCTCTTAGACTAACGGTTTGTCACACAGAGGAGTAACGGTTTCCAGAAAAGTGCAGCAGAGACCTTAGGGCATTAGACGTGTCTGCAGGTTCCAGGGATGTTCGCGTAAAGCCTGGTTCATGCTTCTCCGTCAGCTCCGTAAGGGACAGACACGCACGGGTTAACGGAAGCGTTTTGCTCTCATACTTCTCCGTCTCCTGGAGAGTGTTGCAAAGCAATTCCCCGGCAGGACAGCAGAGGGCGTAGCGCTGTTCTGTGGTATCCTGTCATGTATCGGTCCAAGATCGTGTGTTTATATTGTGTTTTTTGTGTATATAAGAGACTTTTAACACGGACATATTTGTCTCTCATCCTCCTCCACCTCTTCATGCGCTCGCCACCTCTAAACCCACGTTTCCTATCATTTCCGTCCACTAATAAAACGCTTGCTGCGCATCTTTTCACTCCTCCAGTCACGGGGAATTAAACGTTCATGTTTTTAGAGTTTTTTCGCGAGGTATTCTTCAAGCTGCTCCGTGTCTGCCGCTAGTTATCCTCGGCTCTCTTTATGTTTTTGAGGGCGCAATGGCGGCGCTGTAGACGACAGCGGCGTCCTGACCAATCACAAGCTTGCGTTGTCCGTCTCGACTGACGGATGTTTAGAAAAGAGAGCCCGACTCCGTCCGTCCTTGCGGAGCTCTCCAGCAGGCCCGCAGGGACGTTGCGTGTCTCCGCGCTGACGCAGACGGAGAAGCATGAATCAGGCTTAAGACAACCTTCTGCAGAGGAAGAAGAGGGTGCTGGGCCAGCCTGCCTCCAGCCCTGAGCTGTCTTCAGTACAGAACATGTGTGTAGAGGACTTCAGACAGGAGCTGGTATTGTTGTGGTTCTTAAAACATGTTTACAGGAAGAACACACAAAACTCTTCATCAGTCCCTCGTCTTTTCAGGAGTGAAAAATCATAAAATGTTGACGTGTTGAGGCCTGAAAGGCATGAATGAGTGGATATTATTGAATAAGATGATGTCGATGATGAGATCTCAGCTGTGTGAGCCGCCTGTAGAGAAACAAGCAGCTTTCAGGTTCTGATGTGACCTGAATGTGCCTTTTTGTTGTAGGATGCAGAGTCTGGACATGACCACAGCAGTCAGATATCTGTCTGAGTCCGAGACAGCTCTGCAGGTTCTGGGCACTGCTTACATACAGCACCAGTGTTACCATAGCAACGATGCCAAAAACCAAGTATGTGATTTTTGTAATAGTACTTGATTTTAGTAGAATAAACCACATTCCCTATCAAAAGTTTAAGGCCATCTGAAAAAAGGGCAAAAGTCATTTTTTTGCATGGTTGGATTTTAACGAGTTGGGCTTCAACATAAAAAAGGAGGAAATGGCATTGAGACAAAACAATTTCCAGACAGCAGTAGCTCAGGAGGGAGAGCAGGCTGTCCAGTAACAGTTGTAGGATAGATCCCAGCTCCCGGCAGAGAGTGCTGCTGTTGTGTCCTTGGGCAAGACACTTAACCTGCCATGCCTGCTGGTGGTGTCGGAGGGACCGGTGGCGTCTGTGCCTGGCAGCCTCTCCTCTGTCAGTGCACCCCAGAGCAGCTGTGGCTACATTGTAGCTCATCACCATCAGTGAGTGAATGGGTGAATGACTGATTGTGTTGTAAAGCATCTTGGGGGGGGGGGGGGGGGGGTTCTAGGACTCTAGAAGGTGCTATATCAAATACAGGCCATTTATCATTTTCTGAGCAGCAGTTTATTGAAAACAGCTCTTTAACTGAAACAGTCTGTTTTACCCTTGATCAAAAGCTTAATACCACACCTTCAAAGAAACACTAACCCCCCCCCCAACAACAACAACAACAACAAACGAAAAACAGAACTCAGCGTTCTACACATAAACACAGAAATGAGTAGCTCCACTGTTATTGTTGATCACGTCAAAAATTTTTACAACATGCTTGATGGAAGTTGTAGGGTTAGCATATGTATGTATTTTGGGTGCTTTTTAAGCTCAATACACTGCACTACACTTTGACCAATAAGATGTGAATTTCTATACAAATATGGAAATCCAGTCTGAATGTTCTTTGAATGTTTAACCAGAAGATTTAGAATTCGTTGTTTATTCAGGGATCGTAAGACACTTCGTATTAATTCAGACAGAGTCAAGTTTCTAAAAGGCAAGACATTTCTTTTCTAAACAATTAAAAACATGACAACTAGCAAACACTTTCTGTGATGGATGAATCTAAGTGGATGGAATGTGAGATGTGATGATGTGTGAATGTGATGTTATCAGAACCTTCGTATCTGAAGAAACTGAGTTCTGAGTGGGAGTGAATTTGGTCTGCTCTAAACTATAGTGATGGTTTATAAAACCACATCAGACGCAATCTGTCGAGTCTACGAACCCCTCTGAGACCCCCGTGGTAGATCCGGAATGTGGAAGTCTGGGGAACCCGAAGGTACCGAAGTCCATAGAAGAAACCACAGTGCCGACTAGACCGGTCTCGAGATGTCTCCAGGTCACGACAGGTAGTTATTTGCGTCTATGGAGGACTCGTAAGGAGTCTAAGCTGGTTCAGCTTTATTCTGAAGGAACCGTTTGCGGTATCAGTTGTAGCGTGCAACAGGTTTTGACAGCTTGTCAAAGATGCGATGGGAGCAGAGGCTTCCTCCGATGGCCAGTCAGAGTTAGGCTCAACTGAAATCACTCCGAAAGTGATGCTGTTTGAATAATGGCCATATTTTGCTTCACTGATAAGTTAGAACTTGCCCTGTAAAGGGGTTTTGCCAACAAACTCAGATACACACCTCCCTCAGATATGAAGATGCTGATTTTGTGGATAAGAAGATATCTATGTGCAGTGACATTAATTTTAACTTGTGTCATGGAGATATGGTGAGTGTGTCTTGTCCAGTCAGTGTGCTGATTCAATATATGGGTCATATGTTTCATTTCATCCTTCTTAATCTTTCAATGTAATAATAATCATTTCAACTTCAGTAATTTAAGCACAGATTAATCAAAACATTTCATTTAACCGTATTGTCCATTTCATTATATGATTAAATGATTAGTTACTCATATTGTTCATCCGTCTTGTTCTGTGAATAAAAACCAGTCTTAGATAAAAGTGAGCTTGCAAGGGACCTTGGCCAACCAACAGTATCTTTCTTGCAGATTGCAAGCACCAGTTAAGACTTATGTCTCCAAATGGCCAGATACTGAAGGTCAAAATGTAGATGAAAAACTGACCATTCCTGGAGGCTACATAACCCCCCTTTTCGAGGACACGGGGCATCCCCTCCACTAAGCCGAAAACATCTCCAGTCGGATCTACTTGTCATGGCAGTCACGTTGGAAACCATCAAGACCATCAATGTCTTCTCTGCAGAGAATAAAACTTTCTTTCATAAATTGCTGCTCAATTCCCATTGCTTCTATTTAATGTTGAAGCTCTACTTGGAACCTTGTTAAGATCCAACCATGCAAAAGATTGTTTTTGACTAAGTTTAAGTGGTCTTAAACTTTGATCAGGACTGTATTTTGACATCTGTACTGCCTCTAAGGTTCGAGCCCTCGGAGGTATCCCAGCTCTGGTGCGCCTGTTCTCCAGCGAAAGTCTGGAAGTCCAGCGTTATGCTACTGCAGCTACGAGGAACCTCATATACGAGAATGCTGACAACAAAACCACCCTCATCGAGGCAGGCGGACTGATGCCTCTGGTAAACATCTTGAACCAACCAGACGAAGAGCTGCGGAAGACAATAACAGGTGGGAACAAACTGCCTGAGCATCACTGAGCTTTAACATAAATGTTCTTGTTTGCTGCTCCTTCAGTCCCACAGGTGTTAAAACGTTTTGTTGGGTTTCAGGTGTCCTCTGGAATCTGTCCTCCAGAGACAGTCTGAAGGAGAGGCTGGCGATCGAAGCTTTGTCTCTGCTCACTGAAAAGGTTTTGGTTCCACTGTGCAAGAACCTCCCATTGAACCCATCTGAGAGGGAGATTTTCTACAACACCACCGGCTGCCTCAGGTGACGCCATGCTGGACGCATCAGCATGTTTCTGTTTAGCATCATATAGCATGTTCCCATACAGCTGATGAACATGAGTCACCTCGCTCATGTCAGCTCAGAAGAGACCGATTCTAAGGTGGAGTCCTTAGGTGGTTGAAGTGTTTTGCCCTAGAACACAACAGCAAAATTCTCTCGTCGGAGCCGGCATCAAACCTGCAACCTTCTCATTACTAGATTACCTGCTGTAGTGCTGAAAATTAGCTAGAATTTTATTTAGTTAATGTTTGATTTAGATGATCCTAGGTTCTTTGACTATTCAGGGAACACAGACTTCATATTGATTCAAGTCAACGATATAGTTTTATAAAAAATGTATTTAATTATATTTTTCCTAAACTAAGTGATTATACATGACAAAATATGAATGAAATGATGGTTGTACAGATAACAGACAGCAAATGAAATGTAAGCTAGATGTTTTCAGCAAAACCTTGTAAGTGTCTGAGAGAGACTGTGGTGTCTGGGTTGTAAAATCAGTTTGGCTGTATGGCTTGATAAGCTAGAGATTATTCATAAAACCATCCGATGCCGTTGTGCATAGTCTATGATACCCATGTTAAGGTCACTCCCGGGGGTCCGGAGAGAAGATGGCCCGAGTGGTGAGGTCCGCTGGATGTCGTGACCACAGGACCCCAAAGAGTCGTAGCTCCCTTTGAATTCAGATATCATCTGGCTATGAGATGCCAACAGGGTCCGCCTATTAGACGTTCCACATCTGAGGTGTTGGGTGTCTCTTAAAAGAGCCGTTGTCTGACATCACTCGCAAGCGTTGCAGAGAGACTTTGACCTTGGGGTCAGAAGAGAGGATGGTTCCAAGTGCTTGCTCACCAGTCGGCTGAACCAGGAGGCAGCAGGAGAGCTAACCAGATCAGGAAGTGATCCTTGTATTTATTAAATATTGTTCATAAATTTTTAGACAAATCAGAATGTGACAAGTTTTAAAGGCTGGGGAGCAAACCACTTGGAGAAAAAATGAAGTTAACAGCCGAAATAGCAGGAAATAATGATAAGGTAACAATGACCTATTTTATAGAATTTGGTCCAGCCTGTATAAATGTTTACTTTCATGTGTGCCTGATTTTAATGTAATAACTTATTGTACCTTCAGGCTGATCTGGTTTGTGAGTGAATGTTTCTGCCTGTCTGTAGAAACCTGAGCTCCATAAATGAGAGGACGAGGAGGAAGATGAGAGCCATGCACGGGCTGGTAGACTCTCTGGTGTGCTACATTCAGCAGGAAGAAAGGGGAGATGATAAGGTAACAATGATCTACACTACAAGCTGTAAATAATGTAATAATCTCAATAATGAGGTCTGATTTCAGCAACTGTGTGACACCTTAGCTGTTCTAGACCCTAAACATCAGACATTAAACTAGAACCTTTGGCAGGTTTGGTGGAAAACAAAAATCCCTCCACCAACACCTGGTTGAGGATGCAGCTGTTGTACGTCTATTTTAGTTCATAATTGAAAAGGCACTTGCGACTTACAGCTGGGTGATTTACTACAACCATTATTCTATTTAACCATCCCTAGAAAACTATGGCAACACTCTGCTATGGTTAACAGAATACAGTTGTCACAAGGAAACAGGGTTTCATAACAGCGAGGGAGATCCAGACCCCAAGCAGCATGTCTCTGAGGCAGTGAGATGTTGGGGTCAGAAGAGAGGATGTTGATCTTTTGGAGGCTGAAAACCGTCCAAGATCTAAGTGGCTGTGACACGGATCAAACTATGATGGCCTGACAGCTTAGTCACAGTACCTTCAGTAGATCTCCAAGGAGTAAAACCCACTGAACCAGAGCAGAGAGGGCTTATTAATGAGTGACAGGAACAAATACTGATCTGTTAACCCCTCAACTAGTAGCTAACCCACTTGGTAGAGCTAGTGGTAGAGCATTTGGTCTGAGTCCCATATCTTACTGAAGCATGAACCAAACTTGGAGTCCATCCATTAAGTTAGTTTTAATTAATGAAAAATATCTTTGTAACCCCTAGAAATGGTTGTGTGGAAAATCCCAGTAAATGAGCAGATTGTGGAGGCCTACCTATCCTGGAAAAATAGTCTTGTGCTTTATAAAAATAAGCTTCGACAAACTAGAACTGCTTATTTTTCAGCATTCATTGAGGAGAATAAGCATAATCCTAAATTTCTTTTCAGTGCAGTTGCCAAACTTACACAGAATCATAGCTCTGAGCCATCTATTCCCTTAGCCCTCAGCAGCAATGACTTCATGGGATTTTTTACAAGAAAAATTAATTCTATCAGAAACAAAATCTTTAGCTTCCTCCCTAATGTGATTTCTTCTTCCTCAGTAAGTGAGGCAGCATCAGAGGTGACTGTAGAACCTCATCTGTGCTTGAACCGTTTTGATCCAGTTGAGCTTTCAGATTTATCAAAAATATTAGCTTCATCTAAACCTTCAACTTGCATTTTGGATCTAATCCCAACCAAATTATTTAAAGATGCATTTCCTTTGGTTACTGCCCCCATTCTAGATATAATCAATCTATCCTTAGTAAATGGGTATGGGTATGTACCACAGGATTTTAAGGTTGCTGTAATCAAACCTTCACTTAAGAAGCCTTCTCTGGATCCAGATGACCCAATGAGTTATAGACCAATATCTAACCTTCCATTTTTATCCAAAGTCCTGGAGAAAATAGTGGCCATCCAAGTATGTGAGCATTTAAACACTAATGCTCTGTTTGAGGAATTTCAGTCTGGTTTTAGAGAGTATCACAGCACTGAAACTGCATTAGTGAGAGTTACAAATGATATTCTTATGGCCTCAGATAAGAATCTTGTGTCTGTTCTAGTCTTGTTAGATCTCAGTGCTGCCTTTGACACAGTTGATCACAATGTTCTTTTAGAAAGACTTGAACATGTTGTAGGGATCAAAGGAACAGCGTTAGGCTGGTTTAAATCCTACCTGTCTGACAGATTTCATTTTGTAAATGTACATGACAAATCGTCTTCATACTCCAGGGTTACTTGTGGAGTACCACAGGGTTCAGTGCTTGGACCAATTCTTTTTACTATATATATACTATATATTCAATTCAATTCAAATTCAAAAATACTTTATTAATCCCAGAGGGAAACTGATTGCTGTAGTAGCTCAGAATAATAATAATAATCAAGTCATCAAAGAGTTGTTGTATATTACAATGGCTGTTGGCAGGAAGGATCTCCAGTAGCGGTCAGTGTTGCAGCCAAACTGAAGAAGCCTCTGACTGAAGACACTCTTCCGTTGTCGGACAGTCTTGTGAAGAGAATGCTCAGGGTTGTCCATCATGTTCTTGATTCTCTGGAGAATCCTTCTTTGCATTATCTCCTCCAGCGGTTCCACAGTCCCCAGAACAGAACCAGCCTTTTTTATTAGGCTGTTGAGCCTTTTCAGGTCCCTGCTTCTGATGCTGCTACCCCAACAGACGATGGCTGAAGAGATTACACTCTCAACAACAGACTTGTAGAAGATCTGCAGCATCTTGCTACAGACACTGAAGGACCTAAGCGTCCTCAAGAAGTGCAGTCTGCTGTGTCCCTTCTTGTAAACGGCTTGGCTGTTCTTTCTCTAGTCCAGTCTGTTGTCCAGGTGAACTCCAAGGTATTTGTATTCCAATCTTGTCGAGATTTGGCGCTTTATAAATAAACTTGAATTGAATTGAATTGAATTGCGAAACACTAAGACCGTCTGGCGCCAACAACCATGCCACGCTCAAAATTGGTTAAATCACCTTTCTTTCCCATTCTGACATTCAGTTTGGAGTTCATGAGATTGTCTTGACCAGGACCTCACCCCTAAATGTATTGAAGCAATTGCCATGTGGTAGGTTGATTATATAATAGCCAAGACCCATCTTTTTAGGTTAGCTTTTATCTAAATATTTACTACAGTTTTATTTCTCGTTTTACATGATTATATTTTATTACTTGCTTTGCATGTTCTATATGATTATACTTTAGCACAGTTTTATTATTTAAATTATTATTTTACTGTCTATGATTTTATTTATTACTTATTTTCTAATTGTTGTCATTTATATTAGCTCTTTTTTTAATATTTTTACTCATTTTAATCCAGTGTTTCCTCTGTGGGGGCCCTCTGCCCCGGGAGCGGTGGTCGACTGTAGCTTCCTGGGCGCTCTATAGGTGGGGGTCTATGCTCCCCCTCCACTGAGCGCCCTGACTTAGTGTGGAAGACCTGATGCTGCCGGGGCAGACGGCTCCTCTGATGGCGTTTCCTTGCGTTACCATATTTGGCTCATCTGGACTCAGCCTAATATAATTTTTACTCGTGTGTGTGTGTGTGAGTCTGTGTGTGTGTGCGTGTGATTGCATATGTTTGTTAATGTTTTTAACCTGTTATGGGAATCTGGGGTCATTTTGTAAAGCACTTTGAATAACACTTTGTTTGAAAAGCGCTTTAGAAATAAAATTTGATTGATTGATTGATTGATAGCATTAAGGAGAAGTTGAACAGGTGTTCCTGATAATCCTTTAGATGAGTGTAGTCCCTCCAGCATGTCCTGGGTCTTCCTTTAGGTCTCCTACTGGTTAGATATACCCAGAAAACCTCACCAGCATGGCATACTGACCAGATGCCCGAGCCACCTCAACTGGCTCCTCTCCACGTGGAGGAGCAGCGGATTTACTCAATTCAATTTGTTTATTTATATAGCGCCAAATCACAACGAGTCGTCTCAAGGCACTTCGCATAATAAACATTCTAATACAGGTCAGTTCATCAAGCCAATCAGTAAAAAGTTTCCTATATAAGGAAACCAGTGAAAAAAAGTGTATTAATAAAAACAACCAACGTGAGTTAGTCTCTTTCCGGAGTATTTCTCTGATCTGATGGCACCATCTAGTGGCTGACAAGCATATCACACAAATAATTTCTCCTGTTTTTTTGAGATGGCGACTTCAAATTTCTTGTTTATTATGTCCTTCTGTAGCCGACAAACAGCTAAAATACATTGTTTTATAAGTATTATTCTCATATATTTATATTTTAGATACTTTCTTGTCCATGAAAAGTTCATCAACTCTGCATCAGTCGAGGTACTGTTAGATGTGAAGCATGTAAGCGGTAGTCTAACACCATTGGTTGGTTCTGGTCGACGCTCAGGTTCCTATTGCATGGAGCTCTAAGTATTGCCTACATTATATCACAGTACATGATAAGACAATCACTTTTCCAGATTTCTGAAAAATCATACATAATTTCTGAAAGGAGAAAACTCTGTAAAATTACTGTAATAGCTGGCGAGCCGTGTTGACGCATGTTTGCGCATGCGCCCGGAGTGGTTCTGGTACTTTTTGGGTCTCAGCTGCTCTCAGCACCACTTCAACAGTGCAATGCACTCACAAGGGATGAGCAAAATATCAAACATGCCAGAAATCCAGAAATACACTCCCAAAAATGACCATTATTCAGTAGGTTGGTTTGAATTGGTTTATGTAGAAAAAGCATGGACACGGGTACAAACCGCACACCTTGAACCCCTGAAGCCACAATTTTCTTTTACACTAGTTTTTATCCTTAGCTCATCTCCACCCACTTAGTTACACAGTTCATTTCTGTTGGATCAAAGACGTGTATATTCTATATGAAAATTTGTGAATATCATTTGGGAGTTCAAGGTTCAAGGTAACTTTATTAATACCCACAAGTAAATTTGATTTGCCATGTGACACGAGAATGAGCGCCCAGGTTACACACACAGTCACAAAACACACACATCAATGAAAAATATAAATAAAATAGCCATGCCAGACTCAATTCTTATTGAGTAACGTTACTGCCTCGGGAATAAAGCTCATTTTATACCTCTTGGTGCTGCACTTTGGCACAATAAATTTCCGTCCTGATGGCAGGAGAGCAAACTGGGCATGCAGTGGGCGGCCCGTGGCCCTAACAATAGCTTTAGTAATCCTCGCTACCTGCCCACTGTACAGTTGTGCCACAATTTTCCCTGGTTTTCCAAGCAGACGACCCGACCACTTCACTATCCTGTTTAGCGTTTCCTCTTGTTTAAGATTTACCTGACCAAACCACGAGGCTAAGGAAAAGGATAAAACACTTTCAATAAAAGAACAATAAAACATGGACGTTATAGTCCTGTCCACATGGAATCAGGCCAGTTTTCTAAGGCAGTACAAACGCTGCTGGCCTTTCTTACCCACAGCATCACAGTTTTCCTCAAAAATCAGCTCCCTGTCGATAATTGTCCCCAGATATTTATATGATTTCACCTGCTCAATAGTTTGACCTTTGATTATGGAAAGATCATGCTGTTGTTGAGGCTTCCTTCTAAAATCGATGATCATATCTTTTGTTTTAATTACATTAAGCTGTAGATATGATTCATCACACCAAGAGATAAAACCGTCAAGAACAGGTCCATGGCTGTATTCCCCTTCTCTCAGGAGACGTACTACTACCGAATCATCAGCATATTTAATAATTGTCCTTCTCTCATGTTTGCTTTGGCACATGTTAGTGTATAAAATATACAACAAGGGGGACAAAACACAACCCTGAGGAGATCCGGTAGACAGTTCTCTTATCCGACAGGGTACTATTCACTCTGACCTTCTGTGTTCTGTTGCTCATACAATCTAGTATCTACCCAAGCATGCTTCTACTCAGGTGAAACTGTTCCTCTAGCCTATTAACCAAAACATGAGGCTGGATTGTATTGAAAGCGGACGAAAAGTCCACAAAGAGGAGTCGAGCATGAGTTCCTGCTAGGTCCAGATGAGGAAAAAGCATATCCAACAGAGTGACCGTTGCATCCTCCACACCCCTCCCAGCCTGATGTGCAAACTGTAGAGGATCCAGCAGTCGCTGTGTCTGCTTGAAAAGCTTGCATCTAACCAGCTTTTCAAAGATTTTCATTAAAATTGAAGTTAGAGCAACAGGGCGGAAATCGTTTAAACTACCTGGATGTCTCACCTTAGGAATCGGTACAATTTCTGCATCCTTCCATAGTTTAGGGACCTTTTGTAACCGTAAGGATTCATTGAAAATGTGGTGCAGTATAGGTGTCAGCTGGTTTGCACAGAATTTAAGTAAGCGGCCACAAATGTCATCTGGTCCTCGGCTCTTGTTTACTCTAACTGTCCTGATAGCCCTACCTATGTCCTCCATGTCACCTTTAAAATGCTCACTATCCTTACATTTCTCCCTCAGGATTTCCCGTTCCCCGCTGACATCCAGAACGTCAAACCGAGAATAAAAACTGTTCAGGGCATTAGTTCCCTGTCAGTGTTAAATGGGTCTAGACAGATGGTTGTGTAATGTGTCTCAGAGCGTTGTGCGTAATCTGAAGTGAAACAAGCAACAGCAACCTTGTAAGAATGGACAGATTATTCCACACAGTCTGATAGAAAGCTGAGTCATGTCAAGTGAAGTGACTCAGCAGTCTGAGAATGCACAAATGATGGAGCAGAAGAAGAACAGGAATGGACAGGAAAGCTGATGACTCAATGCTGAAGCTTTCAAAAAACTAGAATCTAATGAAGAAACCTTGATGGAGGCCACTTCAGCATCATCTCATTAAACACCTCCTTTCTCTCTTTGCATGTGTGCGCGTGGGCGTGTGTGTGTGTGTGTGTGTGTGTGTTTTGCAGGGTTTGGAGAACTCGTTGTGTGTGATGAGGAATCTGTCGTTCCAGCTGTACTCGGAGCTTCCGCCCTCAGTTCGCCTCCATCTAGAAGGCCCGTCAAGAGCTTCTGTCTCCAGAGACAGTGACACCATCGGCTGCTTCACTCTGCACAGCAAAAAGGCCACTGAGGTGATGGATCACACCCTAGACTTTTGTGAAGGTCCAGCCTTGGTCTAGTTGGGCTGGTGTCCTGAGAGCAGGTCTGTGACTTAAAGTCCCGTTAGTCATCACACACCAGTGAAATTACATCTCCACATTTGACGCATCCCCAAGGGGAGTGGTGAGCTGCAGCAGTGGCTGCACTCAAATGGTAAATGGCCTGTATTTGGGTTCTACAACCCCCCCAAGGTGCTTCACAACACAGTCAGTCATTCACACACTGGTGGGGATGAACTACGATGTAGCAACAGCTCCTCTGGGGCGCACTGACAGAGGTGAGGCTGCCGAACACAAGCACCACCAGTTACTGGACAACCTGCTCTACCTCCCGAGTTACTGCTGGCCCACTCGGGAACTATTTGGTGGTCTAACCCCCCCAATTCAACCCCTTAAAACTGAGTGTCATGCGGGGAGGCATTGGGTCCCGGACTTTCTATCGGACATTTGGAATCCTAGGATGTTCAAGGAAGGTCCAGCCTTTCTGGCCTCTGATTGGCTGGAAGGGCTTTCCTGCTACTGGCTTTTTCAGGTAAGAGGAAACAGTTTTCCCGCGCTGCAGGTTTTTATGTTTACCGCCAGATCTTGAGGAGTTTTTTGAAGAAAATGTGAACTCATCGCTATAAGAAACATCTTTCCTGCTTAGCAACAAACCAGGTCCAGTTTCTTTCATAAAAGAGCCTGAAAAACATCTAATGTGAACGTGTAATAATTCTTGTAGCATTTTATCACACCGTAGACGGACTTTATATCTGTTGGCTCTACTTCATTATTAGGCTATCCTGCTTTAACAGGTTAAGGCTGTTTACGAGTTAGAGCGCATCTCTCATCAGATTAAACGTACATCATTTAATCAGAAATTAAGTTGCAGCTGATTATGATTTAGACCTTTTTCTCACCAGTTTTCATTATTCTAGAACACAAACAGACCTGATGCACACAGCTGGGCAGTTTTATTAAATACCATACCCAGGTAAGGCACACACGTTTATCCTGTGTGAACTCTAATGCTTCAGAGCCAAGAGATATAAAGTTAGCTCCACAGTTTGATAAATGCAACAAAATTATAAATTGACATTTTATGATTTTCAGTTTTTCATGAAACATGAAATGTTTTGCCAAACAGGGCAGAATGATTATAGCTCTAAGTTCTCATTTTCTTTACAAAACTCCCCGGAACAGCTCTCTGGCGGAAGGACACAGTCAGCACTTAGCGAGGACAGCCGGTTTGCTGCTAAATGAAATAGCCAATCGTAGCAGAGCCTTTCTAGCCAATCAGAGACGAGTAAGGCAGGATCTTCCTTGAACGTCCTAGAATTCCAAATGGCACATCCCGGACACTCTACCACTAGGCCACCGAGAAGGTTGATCATGGTGACATGTACTCTTTCGCCTTGTTCACAGCAGCGGTACCAGAACCTGTCCTTGCTGCCCCACCCGAAGGGGGCTGACTGGCTGTGGCACCCTAAGGTGGTGGGGCTGTACAAACTGGTGCTACAGAACAGTGAGAACAGTTCAACGAGCCGTGAGGCCGCCCTCGGAGCTCTGCAGAACATCACGGCAGGAGAGTTTAGGGTAGGCTCTCATCTCAGAGGAAATTATGTTCTGGTTATTATTCATTTCAAGTGTGTTTAACTGGATGTTATCTTTTAAATGTAAACAGATGATTAACAGATCCTTGCAGGAATTAAATGCCAGGTTTGTCTGCTAGTGGTCGTCTGTGTTGAGCTGTGTGGTGATGGACCAGGAGAGGATGTTGCCCATCCTGCTGGACCTGTTAGATACCAGCAGTGAAATGCAGCTGAAACCTCTGACGGGTCTGCTCAGAAATCTGGCCAGACATTCCACCAACAAAGAGCACATGGGTAAGATGTCCTTGCTTGTCTAGAAGAAGGCAGTGTTCTGTGAAAAACTATTTACCGGAAGTGAATGAAAGCTTTTCTTTTTCCTGACAGCTAAGAACGTGGTGAATGTTCTGGTGTCCAAGTTGCCCAGTGATGGTTTTCAGAAGAGCCCATCCAGTGAGGTAGTAGTCAACATCTGCGGGGCCTTAAACCACCTGGTCGCCTGCTGTTCTTTGGCTGCCCGAGACATTGCCTACTTCAATGGCCTTCCCAAGCTTCAGGGCATCAAGACGTCCCACGACAACAGGTCAGACTCCAGCTGATTCCTCCGATGGAAACATCCAGCCGAATCATTCTTTTGGGCTGTCTGGCTTCAGGTTGAGTTCAGTCGCTGAACCCAGAACATTAAGCGTTTCTTCAACCTGACAGTCATCAGTGACGTTCTCTCTGCTTGTGCTCTGCTATTTCCTCTACATTGGTTGTCGTTGTGCTTCTTTCTGATGGTCATTTGGTGTGTTTGGGTTTAGTTCTGGGAGTCTAAAAGCTGCCAGAGCTGCTTCAACCATCCTCAGCAACATGTTCCAGTACAGCAAGCTGCACAGAGATTACAAACTGGTGAGTCCAACAGCTCCACACTCACCTAACCTGCTGAGACACATCAATTCATTTTTGTCTTTTGTCGAGGAGGAACTCTCAGACCTCCAATTGAAACATCATCTTTGCAACGTGGTCTCACTGTATGTTAGAGAGGACATCCTGGGCTTTCCACAGGTGCACCATTTGTGGGGAAATGGCACAATGGTAGAAAGCCTCGTCCGCATTTTATATTTTGTATTTAGGAAATATGATCGTCTTAACTATGTCAAAACATGAGGTTTGTTTCAGTGTCCTTTGAAAGGGACAGCAGGACATGCTAATGATTGTTTAACCACTTGTCATGCTTTAGTAAGGGCTAAGTGAGCCAGGAAGCATCTTCCTGAGGGTAGTGGAAAGGGGGTCAGACATCGAACTGTCAGGAGACGATGAGGAGGAAGGCCAGATGATAGAGCAGAAAGGGGAAAGCTCAAAAGAAGACTGGAAATCCGATGGAACAGGCTCCTCCAAAAAAATGCACATTTGTGTTTCCAGAGGTGTACCTCGAACAAAGTAGCAGATGTACTAAAAACAATTGGTCTCCTGTCAACAGGAACATGAATGAAAAACAGTATCTCTGCACAAGTCCGAACTGTTTATCCAACGTCCAGCTGCACAAATCATGAACCATTCAAACCATCATGCATGTCTTTGATCTGGACTAAGTATGGGTCAGACCTCCAGGTGTCTGGGATACGAGGAGAGACTGCAACGTTCATGAGCTGATTCTGGCTGAATCACAGATTGTTCAGGCACTGGACGTGATCTGGGAGTGACCGGTTTTGGATCAGGACTCGGATTTTGAATAGAAAGGAAATGTATCCATTTAAGATGTCAAATGACTTTGGGTTGGACTCGCCAATCTCTGGTACTGAGGTCACTGAGGTGGTCAAAAAGCAGGGCTCCGGGGGTAGATGAGATCTGCCCAGAGTTTCTAAAAGCTTTAGATGTTGTAGGGTTGTGTGGGCTGATGCAGCTCTGCAATATCACCTGGACATGGGGGGCAGCTCTACTGGATTGGCACACTGGGGTGGTGGTCCCCCTATTTATATAAATACAATTGAATTTATCTATATAGTGCAAAATAATGACAAGAGTCGTCTCAAGGACCTTCACACTGCAAACATTCCAGTACAGGTGTAACAAGTTTCCTATATAAGGAACCCAGCAGGTCGCATCAAGTCACTGACTAGTGTCAGTGACTATACAGCAATCCTCATACTAAGCAAGCATGCAGCGACAGTGGAGAGGAAAACTCCCTTTTAACAGGAAGAAACCTCCAGAGGATCCTGGCTCAGTATAAGCAGCCATCCTCCACGACTCACTGGGGATGGAGAAGACACACACACACACACATGCCAAGTAGTGTTTCTATGGTTACATTGTGATTTCTTAGTACATATTGTATTTAGTAAGAAATAAACGTCATTATCTTTATCCTCGTGAATCTATAATTAATTCAAAAGGCTTATCTGACCAAGTCCTCCAAACACCCCCACATCACCCCGCTTCTCCTCCAGCTTCACTGGCTGCCAGTCAACTTCAGGGTTCATTTCAAGATCCTGGTTCTGGTCTATAGGGCCTTACATGGACAAGCACCATCTTACATTGGTGATCTTCTTAGTCCCTACACCCCCAGCAGGTCCCTGAGGTCCAGTGATCAAAGCCTACTGGTTGTGCAGCACCAGGCTAAAGGTCAAAGGTGACAGATCATCTGCTGCTGTGGCCCCCAGACTCTGGACCTCTCTCCCCCTGAGCCTGAGATCAGTGGACTCAGAGGTCTCCTTTAAAAAGCAGCTGAAGACTCACCTGTTTAGGCTGGCTTTTGCATGACCTTCGGCATGGGTGTTGCACCCGTGGGGGATGTGGGGGTTTCGACACCCACACTTTTCCAGCCGTTCCACACCAGTCTGGTTTCTCTACGTTGCACTCGCTCTCTTTGCCTCATCTCCTTCTTCCCCTCCCTCTCCTGTTTCTCCTTGAAACCCGACATCGGCAGAAACCTTTTAACAACGCTAGCTTTTGCATCTTTATCGTTCCCCTGCTTCAGCCCTCTCCCCCCTCCCCCTGCGCAGCGGCCGCAAACTCACTGATGCGCCTGCAGCCTCTCAGAGTTCCTGCTGCTCTAAACATTAAAATAATTATTTCATGTTCTGTTCCTCACTTCTTCTGATATCTGTATGATGCCACATACTGGTCTGGAGTAGTTAAGATCTGAAATGGATCATTGCAAGAAAGATATTCATTTTAAAGCCATCATTGATTAAAGCACAGATTATTCAAACATTTGATTTAAACATCTTATTCATTCATCACATTTGATTATTTCAACCTATAAGTGGCAAAGTCACGTAGGAACTTTGAGGTGGGTGCACTTCGTTCAGCGTGAGGTTGCAGGAGCCTTGCATGAGGCCTTGAGCAAAGATGTTATGGCTTCTTTGGCTAGTTTCACATCTTACACTTGTTTTTCCTTCTTGGAGGCCAGACAGGTGGTGTGTTTGTGTCTGCAAATGAAATGTTACCTTCTGGTCATTTTGTAGGTGAAGATTAGACGAGCTGCGATGTAGGTTCTGGATGTCCTCCTGTGTTTAGGGTTATTGTTGAATCTTCAGCGATGCGATGAAACCATCTCACATGTGAACCAGAATACCAAAGCCCCTAACAACTGACAGGAGGTGGTTAGCTGGCATTAATGAGGACAGCAGTAGTTTAAAACCTTACACCTTTAATGTTTGAAATGAGAAATTCTCTCACTAAAGAAACAAAACAGCTTTACCTGTAGAAGAAATTTGCTCTGAGTTTAGTAGAATGTGCAGAACCATTAACTGGGCCCGACCGAAGCTTCCTACTGATGGATTAGTTTAGTGTCTTCAGCCCACGGATTCTCTTAATTTGGGGATTTCTTACTGCATCTTGTGGGTTCACATGAAAGTTCAACACAGTTTGATTTCTGCATGTTCATATTCTGCTCATTACCACAATAAAGATATACCATTAGACTTCTAACTCCTATTTTAACAAACAATACATTTTCTTACCACTGTAATCTGTTTGAGATGTCTGGATCCCAAATGGCTCTCAACACATTCAGGACAAGGGAATGACGTGACCTCGGTGCTCCATACAAGTGGACGTTGGCTCTGAGTGATGTGAACCACGTGTTTCCACCAGATGCTTTTCTGCTTTACATCTGTCTGCAGCTGGTTGTTTTCTGCTTGAATTCAGCTTCCCATGTGTCCTCCTCCTTCTTCCCGTCCACCAATCCTATAGCCTGGAGCCACGTTAGTCTAAGGACACTCAGCTCGGTGAAAGGAAATACTTTCTGTAGCTCTGGCACACAGCTCTACAGTTCCCTAAGCTCTGATCCAAGTACAGGTTTCTTTCAGTCACACCAAAGGAATTCAATAATCCCACAGGATCTGAAATCAAATAGAACTTTTCAGTCATGTGGAACTAAATGAATGAGCGGGCACAACTCAGTAAAACATGCCTGAGTTCATGATCTACATGTGTTTATCGTAGTGAGTTGGAGCTGTTTGGAGTCAGATTCCTCAGCAGGAATGCAAAGAATCAGGTTTTAGTTATTATGAGTTTGTTTAATTTCTGTCTTTGGGTTGTTGACTTGGAAACCTTCACACAGTTTTTCTTCAGTATAACCACCCCACCAACACACACGATACAAACTGAACTTTACACAGCAAACAGAAGCAGCATGAGCCAATCAGCTGACCATACCGTTATACTCTCACAACAAGCTAAAGTCAGGAGAATTACACTTCATACTGATAGGCAAGCACTCACTGCACCTTTTTACTGTTTTATAGTGGGTCTTTTGGTCGTTCCCCTTGATTTATCTTGGTAAAATGAGTGTTGCTGTTCTTTATTGTTCTAGCATTCCTTACATTCATCCCTCTGTGGGACACAGAGTAAACCAAACTGAACTAAATGTGGCACTGTCACAAAAATGCAGTGTTGGGAATGTTACTTTAAAAAAGTAATTAGTTATAGTTAGTTACCTATTACTTTTTGACAAAGTAATAGGTAACTGTTAGTTACTGAGTTTTGTCGACAAAAACAGAAAGCAAAGAACAACCCAAAAAAAGAACCAGAAACCCAGAAAGACAAGAACCAAAACCAGTGATAACCCTACCATACATTAAAGGCATAACAGAAAAAATAAGAGCAACAATGAAAAAACACAACATAAACACACCAACAAAACCATACACAACAGTTAGAAACAGACTAGTACACCCAAAAGACAAGATACCAGCTGGACTTAAAGGTGGAGTCATTTACGAAATCCCATGCAAACTCTGCAATAAAACATACATAGGAGAAACCGGACACCAACTCAACACACGAACAATAGAACACAGAAAGGAGTGCGAGAAAGAGGCAAGTCGAAAACACACAAGAGCAGCAAAAGAAGAAGCAGAAAGTACAATAAAATAGTCAGCCGTAACAGATCACTGCTTAAGAGAAAACCATATAATGGACTGGGACAGCACACGGATCATAACCACCGAACAACAAAAATACAAAAGATGGATCAAGGAAGCAATCGAGGTAAGGAGACGTGGATGTGGGACCATGAACAGGGACGACGGAGTTTACACGCTGGACCACGCATGGGACTGCATCGTCGGAGAGGGGAGAGCGGGCAGTAGAGGGCGACAACGTCCTCTGCTGCCCGCAGATAAACGGAGAAGGAAGTGACGCCACCATCAGCGTCAGCCTGAAGAAGCCGGCAGCCGTCGGCGAAACGTAGCGTCAATAACAGGTAACAAAACCGTTTCGGTGTTTTAAAAAAGAACGACAACATGGAATTAGAAATAACACACAGAAAGAACACACCTAAGATGATAAACTATAGTTTGTGAAGGCTGTACCAACTCCAGCCTGTCCGCACATCAAGTCCACGGGTTTCCAGACTCCAGCCTGTCCGGGCATCAAGTCCACGGGTTTCCAGATAAGAGAAA